AAGACCTGCTGATTTTCTTCATTTTTCATTTATAACGGGTACCTGCTACCCTTATTGATTAACATGATCTATCTTAAGAGATTATGAGAAATAATAAGAAAAACAAGCAAAACATATGCTAGATTAATCATTTTATTTCAAAAGTTTGAAAGAAAAATGGAAAAATGCTTCAATTTATAGACATCTTTCCTATTTCACAGAATGAGGTCTGATTGACTGGGGTGTGAAATGTAACAGCCAGTGGTGTACTTCAGCTAGGACTGTCAGTCCCAATATTCATGAGGTGAGATAACCAATGAATATGTGTTCTAAATGTACTAAATTGACCACTTTTTATAAGTGTTTTCTATAACTCTATAGGAAAAACTCCTACATAAACAAATACATGGGTGCAGACATTTTGGACACCCAAAGTTGTGCAGAGAAGAAAATGCTACCTGGCACGTGATTGGTCATTAAGAGAAAAGACTAGTTATGTATTTGACAAGTGAAATAAAGGTGATAAAAATCTCATATCAAGACTTAGGCTCCTTTGAGATATGTAGGAGTTACAGGTAAAAGTTTGAAGGGAGGGATGCACTTTGGTTAGAGATTTTCATTTGGTGCTGAATGCACCTAGTTGTAAACAAATGGAATTTGAAAGTAAAAGTGCCGCGGCACGGTATATTTTTTCTGGCATGTTTTGTTTTACAAGATCTCGAACTTTCACGGCAAGAAAGTCATTTGCCCAAAATTCAATATATGTATCAGTGACAGGGGCTCAACTTTGTATGGAAGTCTATGGGAAAACATTTGGTGGTGTTTGTCCTATAGAGTAGGTATGTATGTCATAGGTAAACATTGATTACAGCCAAAAAATCAATCAATTCCTCTTTTTTTTTGGCATTGGGATTATATTTTAGTTGGTTTTTACTATTTGTATAAAAATTAGAGGGTTTGGGTAAACTGAGGCTCCCAATGGGGACTGCACATGGTGAAAAAATGCCAAAATTTTGCCCCTAGCTCTCATATTTTCAATAAATGTCCATGTAAATAATTGTAAATAAATATTTATGCTGAAATTTACTGTGAATGTTGAAAATAATACAATATTGATATTTATCGGCATCATCAATACACAAAACATGTGAACATCCCCCTCGCAGTTTGAGAAATTCATTTAAATCCATGTATTTTATGAGTGCATACATTTGTATAGATTGACTAATCATCTTTCAAATTTGTGTTAATCAGAGTTAATTGAATGATTTATAACAAAATGTGACTGTTGTTAACTAAATAGGTTACTTTGTTTTTACATAAGGGACCTAATCCAGCTGCAAAGTAGATTTTAGTCATGTCATCAGTGCTGGCTTGAAATAAAAGTTGTACTTTTGGTGAAACTGAGAGGTTACTAGTAGGAAATTTAATTTAAATTACTGTACAATATGTTTTAACAGAAAATACATTGAAAATGCAAGAAATGTGCAAAATTATAAGTGAAAAAATGGTGAAATATGTTTCTGAATATCCCTCCTCCTTGTCATATCCAATCTTGATATTATGTAGCAAAGGGGGGGGGGGTATTTTGTGCTCTAATGATGCTAAAAAAATGAAGGAAAATTTTATAGATGTAGTTTATTTGAATAACAAGAGTTATGCTTATCTGCAGTTATTTTTTTTCAATTTCTTTTCCATTTTGTTTTAGTATTATCTTAGTAAATTCTATTTAAACATGATTATTTTTAAGCTATTACATAACAAATGCTTATAAAAAATTCAAAAGATGGTGTAAGTAATAAACAATTACAATTTAAGCTACTACATGCATGTATCAGTATGTTTTAATAAAATAAAATGTATTTCAGCAATGCATTCTCAAGAAGGAGGAGATTAATGAACCCTCCCCTCTTACAATGAACAACACATGGACACTCTCAGGATGAACCCTTTGCATTCATTAACAGTTCCAAGGTATGGTTTTCTTAGAAAATCTAGTTAATCTCTTAATATTTAAGTTATTTAGAACTTTTAAAAGATTATTAGAATATAGATTTCCTCAGAACTGCAGTTATTTAAGCATTTTGCTTACAATTGAGCACTGCATTCAGTCGGACAACATGATTTATCTGCCCTTGGCATTTAATCAATTTATTAATTATGTCAATAATAAGAAATGATATGCAAATGAATATATTTGCCTTTTATGAAAATATACGTATTTAACATCAATTACATGAAATGATCATTAAAATTGGCTAAAATCTAGGTCACCCCCCTTCAGAATTACAAAATTTTCAGTGGGGATGTATTTGATTCTCTGATGCCAGCAACCCATTGCTGATATAATATTTTTAATCTTATTATCATTTAAACTAGATATATAATTCTCTTTCTTTCCATTGATTATTTTACCTACATTAGCCTTTCCTCTTTCCATAACTCAGCATTTTCTTACAAAGACCTGCTGATTTTCTTCATTTTTCATTTATAACGGGTACCTGCTACCCTTATTGATTAACATGATCTATCTTAAGAGATTATGAGAAATAATAAGAAAAACAAGCAAAACATATGCTAGATTAATCATTTTATTTCAAAAGTTTGAAAGAAAAATGGAAAAATGCTTCAATTTATAGACATCTTTCCTATTTCACAGAATGAGGTCTGATTGACTGGGGTGTGAAATGTAACAGCCAGTGGTGTACTTCAGCTAGGACTGTCAGTCCCAATATTCATGAGGTGAGATAACCAATGAATATGTGTTCTAAATGTACTAAATTGACCACTTTTTATAAGTGTTTTCTATAACTCTATAGAGTAGGTATGTATGTCATAGGTAAACATTGATTACAGCCAAAAAATCAATCAATTCCTCTTTTTTTTTGGCATTGGGATTATATTTTAGTTGGTTTTTACTATTTGTATAAAAATTAGAGGGTTTGGGTAAACTGAGGCTCCCAATGGGGACTGCACATGGTGAAAAAATGCCAAAATTTTGCCCCTAGCTCTCATATTTTCAATAAATGTCCATGTAAATAATTGTAAATAAATATTTATGCTGAAATTTACTGTGAATGTTGAAAATAATACAATATTGATATTTATCGGCATCATCAATACACAAAACATGTGAACATCCCCCTCGCAGTTTGAGAAATTCATTTAAATCCATGTATTTTATGAGTGCATACATTTGTATAGATTGACTAATCATCTTTCAAATTTGTGTTAATCAGAGTTAATTGAATGATTTATAACAAAATGTGACTGTTGTTAACTAAATAGGTTACTTTGTTTTTACATAAGGGACCTAATCCAGCTGCAAAGTAGATTTTAGTCATGTCATCAGTGCTGGCTTGAAATAAAAGTTGTACTTTTGGTGAAACTGAGAGGTTACTAGTAGGAAATTTAATTTAAATTACTGTACAATATGTTTTAACAGAAAATACATTGAAAATGCAAGAAATGTGCAAAATTATAAGTGAAAAAATGGTGAAATATGTTTCTGAATATCCCTCCTCCTTGTCATATCCAATCTTGATATTATGTAGCAAAGGGGGGGGGGGTATTTTGTGCTCTAATGATGCTAAAAAAATGAAGGAAAATTTTATAGATGTAGTTTATTTGAATAACAAGAGTTATGCTTATCTGCAGTTATTTTTTTTCAATTTCTTTTCCATTTTGTTTTAGTATTATCTTAGTAAATTCTATTTAAACATGATTATTTTTAAGCTATTACATAACAAATGCTTATAAAAAATTCAAAAGATGGTGTAAGTAATAAACAATTACAATTTAAGCTACTACATGCATGTATCAGTATGTTTTAATAAAATAAAATGTATTTCAGCAATGCATTCTCAAGAAGGAGGAGATTAATGAACCCTCCCCTCTTACAATGAACAACACATGGACACTCTCAGGATGAACCCTTTGCATTCATTAACAGTTCCAAGGTATGGTTTTCTTAGAAAATCTAGTTAATCTCTTAATATTTAAGTTATTTAGAACTTTTAAAAGATTATTAGAATATAGATTTCCTCAGAACTGCAGTTATTTAAGCATTTTGCTTACAATTGAGCACTGCATTCAGTCGGACAACATGATTTATCTGCCCTTGGCATTTAATCAATTTATTAATTATGTCAATAATAAGAAATGATATGCAAATGAATATATTTGCCTTTTATGAAAATATACGTATTTAACATCAATTACATGAAATGATCATTAAAATTGGCTAAAATCTAGGTCACCCCCCTTCAGAATTACAAAATTTTCAGTGGGGATGTATTTGATTCTCTGATGCCAGCAACCCATTGCTGATATAATATTTTTAATCTTATTATCATTTAAACTAGATATATAATTCTCTTTCTTTCCATTGATTATTTTACCTACATTAGCCTTTCCTCTTTCCATAACTCAGCATTTTCTTACAAAGACCTGCTGATTTTCTTCATTTTTCATTTATAACGGGTACCTGCTACCCTTATTGATTAACATGATCTATCTTAAGAGATTATGAGAAATAATAAGAAAAACAAGCAAAACATATGCTAGATTAATCATTTTATTTCAAAAGTTTGAAAGAAAAATGGAAAAATGCTTCAATTTATAGACATCTTTCCTATTTCACAGAATGAGGTCTGATTGACTGGGGTGTGAAATGTAACAGCCAGTGGTGTACTTCAGCTAGGACTGTCAGTCCCAATATTCATGAGGTGAGATAACCAATGAATATGTGTTCTAAATGTACTAAATTGACCACTTTTTATAAGTGTTTTCTATAACTCTATAGGAAAAACTCCTACATAAACAAATACATGGGTGCAGACATTTTGGACACCCAAAGTTGTGCAGAGAAGAAAATGCTACCTGGCACGTGATTGGTCATTAAGAGAAAAGACTAGTTATGTATTTGACAAGTGAAATAAAGGTGATAAAAATCTCATATCAAGACTTAGGCTCCTTTGAGATATGTAGGAGTTACAGGTAAAAGTTTGAAGGGAGGGATGCACTTTGGTTAGAGATTTTCATTTGGTGCTGAATGCACCTAGTTGTAAACAAATGGAATTTGAAAGTAAAAGTGCCGCGGCACGGTATATTTTTTCTGGCATGTTTTGTTTTACAAGATCTCGAACTTTCACGGCAAGAAAGTCATTTGCCCAAAATTCAATATATGTATCAGTGACAGGGGCTCAACTTTGTATGGAAGTCTATGGGAAAACATTTGGTGGTGTTTGTCCTATAGAGTAGGTATGTATGTCATAGGTAAACATTGATTACAGCCAAAAAATCAATCAATTCCTCTTTTTTTTTGGCATTGGGATTATATTTTAGTTGGTTTTTACTATTTGTATAAAAATTAGAGGGTTTGGGTAAACTGAGGCTCCCAATGGGGACTGCACATGGTGAAAAAATGCCAAAATTTTGCCCCTAGCTCTCATATTTTCAATAAATGTCCATGTAAATAATTGTAAATAAATATTTATGCTGAAATTTACTGTGAATGTTGAAAATAATACAATATTGATATTTATCGGCATCATCAATACACAAAACATGTGAACATCCCCCTCGCAGTTTGAGAAATTCATTTAAATCCATGTATTTTATGAGTGCATACATTTGTATAGATTGACTAATCATCTTTCAAATTTGTGTTAATCAGAGTTAATTGAATGATTTATAACAAAATGTGACTGTTGTTAACTAAATAGGTTACTTTGTTTTTACATAAGGGACCTAATCCAGCTGCAAAGTAGATTTTAGTCATGTCATCAGTGCTGGCTTGAAATAAAAGTTGTACTTTTGGTGAAACTGAGAGGTTACTAGTAGGAAATTTAATTTAAATTACTGTACAATATGTTTTAACAGAAAATACATTGAAAATGCAAGAAATGTGCAAAATTATAAGTGAAAAAATGGTGAAATATGTTTCTGAATATCCCTCCTCCTTGTCATATCCAATCTTGATATTATGTAGCAAAGGGGGGGGGGGTATTTTGTGCTCTAATGATGCTAAAAAAATGAAGGAAAATTTTATAGATGTAGTTTATTTGAATAACAAGAGTTATGCTTATCTGCAGTTATTTTTTTTCAATTTCTTTTCCATTTTGTTTTAGTATTATCTTAGTAAATTCTATTTAAACATGATTATTTTTAAGCTATTACATAACAAATGCTTATAAAAAATTCAAAAGATGGTGTAAGTAATAAACAATTACAATTTAAGCTACTACATGCATGTATCAGTATGTTTTAATAAAATAAAATGTATTTCAGCAATGCATTCTCAAGAAGGAGGAGATTAATGAACCCTCCCCTCTTACAATGAACAACACATGGACACTCTCAGGATGAACCCTTTGCATTCATTAACAGTTCCAAGGTATGGTTTTCTTAGAAAATCTAGTTAATCTCTTAATATTTAAGTTATTTAGAACTTTTAAAAGATTATTAGAATATAGATTTCCTCAGAACTGCAGTTATTTAAGCATTTTGCTTACAATTGAGCACTGCATTCAGTCGGACAACATGATTTATCTGCCCTTGGCATTTAATCAATTTATTAATTATGTCAATAATAAGAAATGATATGCAAATGAATATATTTGCCTTTTATGAAAATATACGTATTTAACATCAATTACATGAAATGATCATTAAAATTGGCTAAAATCTAGGTCACCCCCCTTCAGAATTACAAAATTTTCAGTGGGGATGTATTTGATTCTCTGATGCCAGCAACCCATTGCTGATATAATATTTTTAATCTTATTATCATTTAAACTAGATATATAATTCTCTTTCTTTCCATTGATTATTTTACCTACATTAGCCTTTCCTCTTTCCATAACTCAGCATTTTCTTACAAAGACCTGCTGATTTTCTTCATTTTTCATTTATAACGGGTACCTGCTACCCTTATTGATTAACATGATCTATCTTAAGAGATTATGAGAAATAATAAGAAAAACAAGCAAAACATATGCTAGATTAATCATTTTATTTCAAAAGTTTGAAAGAAAAATGGAAAAATGCTTCAATTTATAGACATCTTTCCTATTTCACAGAATGAGGTCTGATTGACTGGGGTGTGAAATGTAACAGCCAGTGGTGTACTTCAGCTAGGACTGTCAGTCCCAATATTCATGAGGTGAGATAACCAATGAATATGTGTTCTAAATGTACTAAATTGACCACTTTTTATAAGTGTTTTCTATAACTCTATAGAGTAGGTATGTATGTCATAGGTAAACATTGATTACAGCCAAAAAATCAATCAATTCCTCTTTTTTTTTGGCATTGGGATTATATTTTAGTTGGTTTTTACTATTTGTATAAAAATTAGAGGGTTTGGGTAAACTGAGGCTCCCAATGGGGACTGCACATGGTGAAAAAATGCCAAAATTTTGCCCCTAGCTCTCATATTTTCAATAAATGTCCATGTAAATAATTGTAAATAAATATTTATGCTGAAATTTACTGTGAATGTTGAAAATAATACAATATTGATATTTATCGGCATCATCAATACACAAAACATGTGAACATCCCCCTCGCAGTTTGAGAAATTCATTTAAATCCATGTATTTTATGAGTGCATACATTTGTATAGATTGACTAATCATCTTTCAAATTTGTGTTAATCAGAGTTAATTGAATGATTTATAACAAAATGTGACTGTTGTTAACTAAATAGGTTACTTTGTTTTTACATAAGGGACCTAATCCAGCTGCAAAGTAGATTTTAGTCATGTCATCAGTGCTGGCTTGAAATAAAAGTTGTACTTTTGGTGAAACTGAGAGGTTACTAGTAGGAAATTTAATTTAAATTACTGTACAATATGTTTTAACAGAAAATACATTGAAAATGCAAGAAATGTGCAAAATTATAAGTGAAAAAATGGTGAAATATGTTTCTGAATATCCCTCCTCCTTGTCATATCCAATCTTGATATTATGTAGCAAAGGGGGGGGGGGTATTTTGTGCTCTAATGATGCTAAAAAAATGAAGGAAAATTTTATAGATGTAGTTTATTTGAATAACAAGAGTTATGCTTATCTGCAGTTATTTTTTTTCAATTTCTTTTCCATTTTGTTTTAGTATTATCTTAGTAAATTCTATTTAAACATGATTATTTTTAAGCTATTACATAACAAATGCTTATAAAAAATTCAAAAGATGGTGTAAGTAATAAACAATTACAATTTAAGCTACTACATGCATGTATCAGTATGTTTTAATAAAATAAAATGTATTTCAGCAATGCATTCTCAAGAAGGAGGAGATTAATGAACCCTCCCCTCTTACAATGAACAACACATGGACACTCTCAGGATGAACCCTTTGCATTCATTAACAGTTCCAAGGTATGGTTTTCTTAGAAAATCTAGTTAATCTCTTAATATTTAAGTTATTTAGAACTTTTAAAAGATTATTAGAATATAGATTTCCTCAGAACTGCAGTTATTTAAGCATTTTGCTTACAATTGAGCACTGCATTCAGTCGGACAACATGATTTATCTGCCCTTGGCATTTAATCAATTTATTAATTATGTCAATAATAAGAAATGATATGCAAATGAATATATTTGCCTTTTATGAAAATATACGTATTTAACATCAATTACATGAAATGATCATTAAAATTGGCTAAAATCTAGGTCACCCCCCTTCAGAATTACAAAATTTTCAGTGGGGATGTATTTGATTCTCTGATGCCAGCAACCCATTGCTGATATAATATTTTTAATCTTATTATCATTTAAACTAGATATATAATTCTCTTTCTTTCCATTGATTATTTTACCTACATTAGCCTTTCCTCTTTCCATAACTCAGCATTTTCTTACAAAGACCTGCTGATTTTCTTCATTTTTCATTTATAACGGGTACCTGCTACCCTTATTGATTAACATGATCTATCTTAAGAGATTATGAGAAATAATAAGAAAAACAAGCAAAACATATGCTAGATTAATCATTTTATTTCAAAAGTTTGAAAGAAAAATGGAAAAATGCTTCAATTTATAGACATCTTTCCTATTTCACAGAATGAGGTCTGATTGACTGGGGTGTGAAATGTAACAGCCAGTGGTGTACTTCAGCTAGGACTGTCAGTCCCAATATTCATGAGGTGAGATAACCAATGAATATGTGTTCTAAATGTACTAAATTGACCACTTTTTATAAGTGTTTTCTATAACTCTATAGGAAAAACTCCTACATAAACAAATACATGGGTGCAGACATTTTGGACACCCAAAGTTGTGCAGAGAAGAAAATGCTACCTGGCACGTGATTGGTCATTAAGAGAAAAGACTAGTTATGTATTTGACAAGTGAAATAAAGGTGATAAAAATCTCATATCAAGACTTAGGCTCCTTTGAGATATGTAGGAGTTACAGGTAAAAGTTTGAAGGGAGGGATGCACTTTGGTTAGAGATTTTCATTTGGTGCTGAATGCACCTAGTTGTAAACAAATGGAATTTGAAAGTAAAAGTGCCGCGGCACGGTATATTTTTTCTGGCATGTTTTGTTTTACAAGATCTCGAACTTTCACGGCAAGAAAGTCATTTGCCCAAAATTCAATATATGTATCAGTGACAGGGGCTCAACTTTGTATGGAAGTCTATGGGAAAACATTTGGTGGTGTTTGTCCTATAGAGTAGGTATGTATGTCATAGGTAAACATTGATTACAGCCAAAAAATCAATCAATTCCTCTTTTTTTTGGCATTGGGATTATATTTTAGTTGGTTTTTACTATTTGTATAAAAATTAGAGGGTTTGGGTAAACTGAGGCTCCCAATGGGGACTGCACATGGTGAAAAAATGCCAAAATTTTGCCCCTAGCTCTCATATTTTCAATAAATGTCCATGTAAATAATTGTAAATAAATATTTATGCTGAAATTTACTGTGAATGTTGAAAATAATACAATATTGATATTTATCGGCATCATCAATACACAAAACATGTGAACATCCCCCTCGCAGTTTGAGAAATTCATTTAAATCCATGTATTTTATGAGTGCATACATTTGTATAGATTGACTAATCATCTTTCAAATTTGTGTTAATCAGAGTTAATTGAATGATTTATAACAAAATGTGACTGTTGTTAACTAAATAGGTTACTTTGTTTTTACATAAGGGACCTAATCCAGCTGCAAAGTAGATTTTAGTCATGTCATCAGTGCTGGCTTGAAATAAAAGTTGTACTTTTGGTGAAACTGAGAGGTTACTAGTAGGAAATTTAATTTAAATTACTGTACAATATGTTTTAACAGAAAATACATTGAAAATGCAAGAAATGTGCAAAATTATAAGTGAAAAAATGGTGAAATATGTTTCTGAATATCCCTCCTCCTTGTCATATCCAATCTTGATATTATGTAGCAAAGGGGGGGGGGGTATTTTGTGCTCTAATGATGCTAAAAAAATGAAGGAAAATTTTATAGATGTAGTTTATTTGAATAACAAGAGTTATGCTTATCTGCAGTTATTTTTTTTCAATTTCTTTTCCATTTTGTTTTAGTATTATCTTAGTAAATTCTATTTAAACATGATTATTTTTAAGCTATTACATAACAAATGCTTATAAAAAATTCAAAAGATGGTGTAAGTAATAAACAATTACAATTTAAGCTACTACATGCATGTATCAGTATGTTTTAATAAAATAAAATGTATTTCAGCAATGCATTCTCAAGAAGGAGGAGATTAATGAACCCTCCCCTCTTACAATGAACAACACATGGACACTCTCAGGATGAACCCTTTGCATTCATTAACAGTTCCAAGGTATGGTTTTCTTAGAAAATCTAGTTAATCTCTTAATATTTAAGTTATTTAGAACTTTTAAAAGATTATTAGAATATAGATTTCCTCAGAACTGCAGTTATTTAAGCATTTTGCTTACAATTGAGCACTGCATTCAGTCGGACAACATGATTTATCTGCCCTTGGCATTTAATCAATTTATTAATTATGTCAATAATAAGAAATGATATGCAAATGAATATATTTGCCTTTTATGAAAATATACGTATTTAACATCAATTACATGAAATGATCATTAAAATTGGCTAAAATCTAGGTCACCCCCCTTCAGAATTACAAAATTTTCAGTGGGGATGTATTTGATTCTCTGATGCCAGCAACCCATTGCTGATATAATATTTTTAATCTTATTATCATTTAAACTAGATATATAATTCTCTTTCTTTCCATTGATTATTTTACCTACATTAGCCTTTCCTCTTTCCATAACTCAGCATTTTCTTACAAAGACCTGCTGATTTTCTTCATTTTTCATTTATAACGGGTACCTGCTACCCTTATTGATTAACATGATCTATCTTAAGAGATTATGAGAAATAATAAGAAAAACAAGCAAAACATATGCTAGATTAATCATTTTATTTCAAAAGTTTGAAAGAAAAATGGAAAAATGCTTCAATTTATAGACATCTTTCCTATTTCACAGAATGAGGTCTGATTGACTGGGGTGTGAAATGTAACAGCCAGTGGTGTACTTCAGCTAGGACTGTCAGTCCCAATATTCATGAGGTGAGATAACCAATGAATATGTGTTCTAAATGTACTAAATTGACCACTTTTTATAAGTGTTTTCTATAACTCTATAGGAAAAACTCCTACATAAACAAATACATGGGTGCAGACATTTTGGACACCCAAAGTTGTGCAGAGAAGAAAATGCTACCTGGCACGTGATTGGTCATTAAGAGAAAAGACTAGTTATGTATTTGACAAGTGAAATAAAGGTGATAAAAATCTCATATCAAGACTTAGGCTCCTTTGAGATATGTAGGAGTTACAGGTAAAAGTTTGAAGGGAGGGATGCACTTTGGTTAGAGATTTTCATTTGGTGCTGAATGCACCTAGTTGTAAACAAATGGAATTTGAAAGTAAAAGTGCCGCGGCACGGTATATTTTTTCTGGCATGTTTTGTTTTACAAGATCTCGAACTTTCACGGCAAGAAAGTCATTTGCCCAAAATTCAATATATGTATCAGTGACAGGGGCTCAACTTTGTATGGAAGTCTATGGGAAAACATTTGGTGGTGTTTGTCCTATAGAGTAGGTATGTATGTCATAGGTAAACATTGATTACAGCCAAAAAATCAATCAATTCCTCTTTTTTTTGGCATTGGGATTATATTTTAGTTGGTTTTTACTATTTGTATAAAAATTAGAGGGTTTGGGTAAACTGAGGCTCCCAATGGGGACTGCACATGGTGAAAAAATGCCAAAATTTTGCCCCTAGCTCTCATATTTTCAATAAATGTCCATGTAAATAATTGTAAATAAATATTTATGCTGAAATTTACTGTGAATGTTGAAAATAATACAATATTGATATTTATCGGCATCATCAATACACAAAACATGTGAACATCCCCCTCGCAGTTTGAGAAATTCATTTAAATCCATGTATTTTATGAGTGCATACATTTGTATAGATTGACTAATCATCTTTCAAATTTGTGTTAATCAGAGTTAATTGAATGATTTATAACAAAATGTGACTGTTGTTAACTAAATAGGTTACTTTGTTTTTACATAAGGGACCTAATCCAGCTGCAAAGTAGATTTTAGTCATGTCATCAGTGCTGGCTTGAAATAAAAGTTGTACTTTTGGTGAAACTGAGAGGTTACTAGTAGGAAATTTAATTTAAATTACTGTACAATATGTTTTAACAGAAAATACATTGAAAATGCAAGAAATGTGCAAAATTATAAGTGAAAAAATGGTGAAATATGTTTCTGAATATCCCTCCTCCTTGTCATATCCAATCTTGATATTATGTAGCAAAGGGGGGGGGGGTATTTTGTGCTCTAATGATGCTAAAAAAATGAAGGAAAATTTTATAGATGTAGTTTATTTGAATAACAAGAGTTATGCTTATCTGCAGTTATTTTTTTTCAATTTCTTTTCCATTTTGTTTTAGTATTATCTTAGTAAATTCTATTTAAACATGATTATTTTTAAGCTATTACATAACAAATGCTTATAAAAAATTCAAAAGATGGTGTAAGTAATAAACAATTACAATTTAAGCTACTACATGCATGTATCAGTATGTTTTAATAAAATAAAATGTATTTCAGCAATGCATTCTCAAGAAGGAGGAGATTAATGAACCCTCCCCTCTTACAATGAACAACACATGGACACTCTCAGGATGAACCCTTTGCATTCATTAACAGTTCCAAGGTATGGTTTTCTTAGAAAATCTAGTTAATCTCTTAATATTTAAGTTATTTAGAACTTTTAAAAGATTATTAGAATATAGATTTCCTCAGAACTGCAGTTATTTAAGCATTTTGCTTACAATTGAGCACTGCATTCAGTCGGACAACATGATTTATCTGCCCTTGGCATTTAATCAATTTATTAATTATGTCAATAATAAGAAATGATATGCAAATGAATATATTTGCCTTTTATGAAAATATACGTATTTAACATCAATTACATGAAATGATCATTAAAATTGGCTAAAATCTAGGTCACCCCCCTTCAGAATTACAAAATTTTCAGTGGGGATGTATTTGATTCTCTGATGCCAGCAACCCATTGCTGATATAATATTTTTAATCTTATTATCATTTAAACTAGATATATAATTCTCTTTCTTTCCATTGATTATTTTACCTACATTAGCCTTTCCTCTTTCCATAACTCAGCATTTTCTTACAAAGACCTGCTGATTTTCTTCATTTTTCATTTATAACGGGTACCTGCTACCCTTATTGATTAACATGATCTATCTTAAGAGATTATGAGAAATAATAAGAAAAACAAGCAAAACATATGCTAGATTAATCATTTTATTTCAAAAGTTTGAAAGAAAAATGGAAAAATGCTTCAATTTATAGACATCTTTCCTATTTCACAGAATGAGGTCTGATTGACTGGGGTGTGAAATGTAACAGCCAGTGGTGTACTTCAGCTAGGACTGTCAGTCCCAATATTCATGAGGTGAGATAACCAATGAATATGTGTTCTAAATGTACTAAATTGACCACTTTTTATAAGTGTTTTCTATAACTCTATAGGAAAAACTCCTACATAAACAAATACATGGGTGCAGACATTTTGGACACCCAAAGTTGTGCAGAGAAGAAAATGCTACCTGGCACGTGATTGGTCATTAAGAGAAAAGACTAGTTATGTATTTGACAAGTGAAATAAAGGTGATAAAAATCTCATATCAAGACTTAGGCTCCTTTGAGATATGTAGGAGTTACAGGTAAAAGTTTGAAGGGAGGGATGCACTTTGGTTAGAGATTTTCATTTGGTGCTGAATGCACCTAGTTGTAAACAAATGGAATTTGAAAGTAAAAGTGCCGCGGCACGGTATATTTTTTCTGGCATGTTTTGTTTTACAAGATCTCGAACTTTCACGGCAAGAAAGTCATTTGCCCAAAATTCAATATATGTATCAGTGACAGGGGCTCAACTTTGTATGGAAGTCTATGGGAAAACATTTGGTGGTGTTTGTCCTATAGAGTAGGTACATGTATGTATGTCATAGGTAAACATTGATTACAGCCAAAAAATCAATCAATTCCTCTTTTTTTTGGCATTGGGATTATATTTTAGTTGGTTTTTACTATTTGTATAAAAATTAGAGGGTTTGGGTAAACTGAGGCTCCCAATGGGGACTGCACATGGTGAAAAAATGCCAAAACCCTAGCTCTCATATTTTCAATAAATGTCCATGTAAATAATTGTAAATAAATATTTATGCTGAAATTTACTGTGAATGTTGAAAATAATACAATATTGATATTTATCGGCATCATCAATACACAAAACATGTGAACATCCCCCTCGCAGTTTGAGAAATTCATTTAAATCCATGTATTTTATGAGTGCATACATTTGTATAGATTGACTAATCATCTTTCAAATTTGTGTTAATCAGAGTTAATTGAATGATTTATAACAAAATGTGACTGTTGTTAACTAAATAGGTTACTTTGTTTTTACATAAGGGACCTAATCCAGCTGCAAAGTAGATTTTAGTCATGTCATCAGTGCTGGCTTGAAATAAAAGTTGTACTTTTGGTGAAACTGAGAGGTTACTAGTAGGAAATTTAATTTAAATTACTGTACAATATGTTTTAACAGAAAATACATTGAAAATGCAAGAAATGTGCAAAATTATAAGTGAAAAAATGGTGAAATATGTTTCTGAATATCCCTCCTCCTTGTCATATCCAATCTTGATATTATGTAGCAAAGGGGGGGGGGGTATTTTGTGCTCTAATGATGCTAAAAAAATGAAGGAAAATTTTATAGATGTAGTTTATTTGAATAACAAGAGTTATGCTTATCTGCAGTTATTTTTTTTCAATTTCTTTTCCATTTTGTTTTAGTATTATCTTAGTAAATTCTATTTAAACATGATTATTTTTAAGCTATTACATAACAAATGCTTATAAAAAATTCAAAAGATGGTGTAAGTAATAAACAATTACAATTTAAGCTACTACATGCATGTATCAGTATGTTTTAATAAAATAAAATGTATTTCAGCAATGCATTCTCAAGAAGGAGGAGATTAATGAACCCTCCCCTCTTACAATGAACAACACATGGACACTCTCAGGATGAACCCTTTGCATTCATTAACAGTTCCAAGGTATGGTTTTCTTAGAAAATCTAGTTAATCTCTTAATATTTAAGTTATTTAGAACTTTTAAAAGATTATTAGAATATAGATTTCCTCAGAACTGCAGTTATTTAAGCATTTTGCTTACAATTGAGCACTGCATTCAGTCGGACAACATGATTTATCTGCCCTTGGCATTTAATCAATTTATTAATTATGTCAATAATAAGAAATGATATGCAAATGAATATATTTGCCTTTTATGAAAATATACGTATTTAACATCAATTACATGAAATGATCATTAAAATTGGCTAAAATCTAGGTCACCCCCCTTCAGAATTACAAAATTTTCAGTGGGGATGTATTTGATTCTCTGATGCCAGCAACCCATTGCTGATATAATATTTTTAATCTTATTATCATTTAAACTAGATATATAATTCTCTTTCTTTCCATTGATTATTTTACCTACATTAGCCTTTCCTCTTTCCATAACTCAGCATTTTCTTACAAAGACCTGCTGATTTTCTTCATTTTTCATTTATAACGGGTACCTGCTACCCTTATTGATTAACATGATCTATCTTAAGAGATTATGAGAAATAATAAGAAAAACAAGCAAAACATATGCTAGATTAATCATTTTATTTCAAAAGTTTGAAAGAAAAATGGAAAAATGCTTCAATTTATAGACATCTTTCCTATTTCACAGAATGAGGTCTGATTGACTGGGGTGTGAAATGTAACAGCCAGTGGTGTACTTCAGCTAGGACTGTCAGTCCCAATATTCATGAGGTGAGATAACCAATGAATATGTGTTCTAAATGTACTAAATTGACCACTTTTTATAAGTGTTTTCTATAACTCTATAGGAAAAACTCCTACATAAACAAATACATGGGTGCAGACATTTTGGACACCCAAAGTTGTGCAGAGAAGAAAATGCTACCTGGCACGTGATTGGTCATTAAGAGAAAAGACTAGTTATGTATTTGACAAGTGAAATAAAGGTGATAAAAATCTCATATCAAGACTTAGGCTCCTTTGAGATATGTAGGAGTTACAGGTAAAAGTTTGAAGGGAGGGATGCACTTTGGTTAGAGATTTTCATTTGGTGCTGAATGCACCTAGTTGTAAACAAATGGAATTTGAAAGTAAAAGTGCCGCGGCACGGTATATTTTTTCTGGCATGTTTTGTTTTACAAGATCTCGAACTTTCACGGCAAGAAAGTCATTTGCCCAAAATTCAATATATGTATCAGTGACAGGGGCTCAACTTTGTATGGAAGTCTATGGGAAAACATTTGGTGGTGTTTGTCCTATAGAGTAGGTATGTATGTCATAGGTAAACATTGATTACAGCCAAAAAATCAATCAATTCCTCTTTTTTTTGGCATTGGGATTATATTTTAGTTGGTTTTTACTATTTGTATAAAAATTAGAGGGTTTGGGTAAACTGAGGCTCCCAATGGGGACTGCACATGGTGAAAAAATGCCAAAATTTTGCCCCTAGCTCTCATATTTTCAATAAATGTCCATGTAAATAATTGTAAATAAATATTTATGCTGAAATTTACTGTGAATGTTGAAAATAATACAATATTGATATTTATCGGCATCATCAATACACAAAACATGTGAACATCCCCCTCGCAGTTTGAGAAATTCATTTAAATCCATGTATTTTATGAGTGCATACATTTGTATAGATTGACTAATCATCTTTCAAATTTGTGTTAATCAGAGTTAATTGAATGATTTATAACAAAATGTGACTGTTGTTAACTAAATAGGTTACTTTGTTTTTACATAAGGGACCTAATCCAGCTGCAAAGTAGATTTTAGTCATGTCATCAGTGCTGGCTTGAAATAAAAGTTGTACTTTTGGTGAAACTGAGAGGTTACTAGTAGGAAATTTAATTTAAATTACTGTACAATATGTTTTAACAGAAAATACATTGAAAATGCAAGAAATGTGCAAAATTATAAGTGAAAAAATGGTGAAATATGTTTCTGAATATCCCTCCTCCTTGTCATATCCAATCTTGATATTATGTAGCAAAGGGGGGGGGGGTATTTTGTGCTCTAATGATGCTAAAAAAATGAAGGAAAATTTTATAGATGTAGTTTATTTGAATAACAAGAGTTATGCTTATCTGCAGTTATTTTTTTTCAATTTCTTTTCCATTTTGTTTTAGTATTATCTTAGTAAATTCTATTTAAACATGATTATTTTTAAGCTATTACATAACAAATGCTTATAAAAAATTCAAAAGATGGTGTAAGTAATAAACAATTACAATTTAAGCTACTACATGCATGTATCAGTATGTTTTAATAAAATAAAATGTATTTCAGCAATGCATTCTCAAGAAGGAGGAGATTAATGAACCCTCCCCTCTTACAATGAACAACACATGGACACTCTCAGGATGAACCCTTTGCATTCATTAACAGTTCCAAGGTATGGTTTTCTTAGAAAATCTAGTTAATCTCTTAATATTTAAGTTATTTAGAACTTTTAAAAGATTATTAGAATATAGATTTCCTCAGAACTGCAGTTATTTAAGCATTTTGCTTACAATTGAGCACTGCATTCAGTCGGACAACATGATTTATCTGCCCTTGGCATTTAATCAATTTATTAATTATGTCAATAATAAGAAATGATATGCAAATGAATATATTTGCCTTTTATGAAAATATACGTATTTAACATCAATTACATGAAATGATCATTAAAATTGGCTAAAATCTAGGTCACCCCCCTTCAGAATTACAAAATTTTCAGTGGGGATGTATTTGATTCTCTGATGCCAGCAACCCATTGCTGATATAATATTTTTAATCTTATTATCATTTAAACTAGATATATAATTCTCTTTCTTTCCATTGATTATTTTACCTACATTAGCCTTTCCTCTTTCCATAACTCAGCATTTTCTTACAAAGACCTGCTGATTTTCTTCATTTTTCATTTATAACGGGTACCTGCTACCCTTATTGATTAACATGATCTATCTTAAGAGATTATGAGAAATAATAAGAAAAACAAGCAAAACATATGCTAGATTAATCATTTTATTTCAAAAGTTTGAAAGAAAAATGGAAAAATGCTTCAATTTATAGACATCTTTCCTATTTCACAGAATGAGGTCTGATTGACTGGGGTGTGAAATGTAACAGCCAGTGGTGTACTTCAGCTAGGACTGTCAGTCCCAATATTCATGAGGTGAGATAACCAATGAATATGTGTTCTAAATGTACTAAATTGACCACTTTTTATAAGTGTTTTCTATAACTCTATAGGAAAAACTCCTACATAAACAAATACATGGGTGCAGACATTTTGGACACCCAAAGTTGTGCAGAGAAGAAAATGCTACCTGGCACGTGATTGGTCATTAAGAGAAAAGACTAGTTATGTATTTGACAAGTGAAATAAAGGTGATAAAAATCTCATATCAAGACTTAGGCTCCTTTGAGATATGTAGGAGTTACAGGTAAAAGTTTGAAGGGAGGGATGCACTTTGGTTAGAGATTTTCATTTGGTGCTGAATGCACCTAGTTGTAAACAAATGGAATTTGAAAGTAAAAGTGCCGCGGCACGGTATATTTTTTCTGGCATGTTTTGTTTTACAAGATCTCGAACTTTCACGGCAAGAAAGTCATTTGCCCAAAATTCAATATATGTATCAGTGACAGGGGCTCAACTTTGTATGGAAGTCTATGGGAAAACATTTGGTGGTGTTTGTCCTATAGAGTAGGTATGTATGTCATAGGTAAACATTGATTACAGCCAAAAAATCAATCAATTCCTCTTTTTTTTGGCATTGGGATTATATTTTAGTTGGTTTTTACTATTTGTATAAAAATTAGAGGGTTTGGGTAAACTGAGGCTCCCAATGGGGACTGCACATGGTGAAAAAATGCCAAAATTTTGCCCCTAGCTCTCATATTTTCAATAAATGTCCATGTAAATAATTGTAAATAAATATTTATGCTGAAATTTACTGTGAATGTTGAAAATAATACAATATTGATATTTATCGGCATCATCAATACACAAAACATGTGAACATCCCCCTCGCAGTTTGAGAAATTCATTTAAATCCATGTATTTTATGAGTGCATACATTTGTATAGATTGACTAATCATCTTTCAAATTTGTGTTAATCAGAGTTAATTGAATGATTTATAACAAAATGTGACTGTTGTTAACTAAATAGGTTACTTTGTTTTTACATAAGGGACCTAATCCAGCTGCAAAGTAGATTTTAGTCATGTCATCAGTGCTGGCTTGAAATAAAAGTTGTACTTTTGGTGAAACTGAGAGGTTACTAGTAGGAAATTTAATTTAAATTACTGTACAATATGTTTTAACAGAAAATACATTGAAAATGCAAGAAATGTGCAAAATTATAAGTGAAAAAATGGTGAAATATGTTTCTGAATATCCCTCCTCCTTGTCATATCCAATCTTGATATTATGTAGCAAAGGGGGGGGGGGTATTTTGTGCTCTAATGATGCTAAAAAAATGAAGGAAAATTTTATAGATGTAGTTTATTTGAATAACAAGAGTTATGCTTATCTGCAGTTATTTTTTTTCAATTTCTTTTCCATTTTGTTTTAGTATTATCTTAGTAAATTCTATTTAAACATGATTATTTTTAAGCTATTACATAACAAATGCTTATAAAAAATTCAAAAGATGGTGTAAGTAATAAACAATTACAATTTAAGCTACTACATGCATGTATCAGTATGTTTTAATAAAATAAAATGTATTTCAGCAATGCATTCTCAAGAAGGAGGAGATTAATGAACCCTCCCCTCTTACAATGAACAACACATGGACACTCTCAGGATGAACCCTTTGCATTCATTAACAGTTCCAAGGTATGGTTTTCTTAGAAAATCTAGTTAATCTCTTAATATTTAAGTTATTTAGAACTTTTAAAAGATTATTAGAATATAGATTTCCTCAGAACTGCAGTTATTTAAGCATTTTGCTTACAATTGAGCACTGCATTCAGTCGGACAACATGATTTATCTGCCCTTGGCATTTAATCAATTTATTAATTATGTCAATAATAAGAAATGATATGCAAATGAATATATTTGCCTTTTATGAAAATATACGTATTTAACATCAATTACATGAAATGATCATTAAAATTGGCTAAAATCTAGGTCACCCCCCTTCAGAATTACAAAATTTTCAGTGGGGATGTATTTGATTCTCTTGATGCCAGCAACCCATTGCTGATATAATATTTTTAATCTTATTATCATTTAAACTAGATATATAATTCTCTTTCTTTCCATTGATTATTTTACCTACATTAGCCTTTCCTCTTTCCATAACTCAGCATTTTCTTACAAAGACCTGCTGATTTTCTTCATTTTTCATTTATAACGGGTACCTGCTACCCTTATTGATTAACATGATCTATCTTAAGAGATTATGAGAAATAATAAGAAAAACAAGCAAAACATATGCTAGATTAATCATTTTATTTCAAAAGTTTGAAAGAAAAATGGAAAAATGCTTCAATTTATAGACATCTTTCCTATTTCACAGAATGAGGTCTGATTGACTGGGGTGTGAAATGTAACAGCCAGTGGTGTACTTCAGCTAGGACTGTCAGTCCCAATATTCATGAGGTGAGATAACCAATGAATATGTGTTCTAAATGTACTAAATTGACCACTTTTTATAAGTGTTTTCTATAACTCTATAGAGTAGGTATGTATGTCATAGGTAAACATTGATTACAGCCAAAAAATCAATCAATTCCTCTTTTTTTTTGGCATTGGGATTATATTTTAGTTGGTTTTTACTATTTGTATAAAAATTAGAGGGTTTGGGTAAACTGAGGCTCCCAATGGGGACTGCACATGGTGAAAAAATGCCAAAATTTTGCCCCTAGCTCTCATATTTTCAATAAATGTCCATGTAAATAATTGTAAATAAATATTTATGCTGAAATTTACTGTGAATGTTGAAAATAATACAATATTGATATTTATCGGCATCATCAATACACAAAACATGTGAACATCCCCCTCGCAGTTTGAGAAATTCATTTAAATCCATGTATTTTATGAGTGCATACATTTGTATAGATTGACTAATCATCTTTCAAATTTGTGTTAATCAGAGTTAATTGAATGATTTATAACAAAATGTGACTGTTGTTAACTAAATAGGTTACTTTGTTTTTACATAAGGGACCTAATCCAGCTGCAAAGTAGATTTTAGTCATGTCATCAGTGCTGGCTTGAAATAAAAGTTGTACTTTTGGTGAAACTGAGAGGTTACTAGTAGGAAATTTAATTTAAATTACTGTACAATATGTTTTAACAGAAAATACATTGAAAATGCAAGAAATGTGCAAAATTATAAGTGAAAAAATGGTGAAATATGTTTCTGAATATCCCTCCTCCTTGTCATATCCAATCTTGATATTATGTAGCAAAGGGGGGGGGGGGTATTTTGTGCTCTAATGATGCTAAAAAAATGAAGGAAAATTTTATAGATGTAGTTTATTTGAATAACAAGAGTTATGCTTATCTGCAGTTATTTTTTTTCAATTTCTTTTCCATTTTGTTTTAGTATTATCTTAGTAAATTCTATTTAAACATGATTATTTTTAAGCTATTACATAACAAATGCTTATAAAAAATTCAAAAGATGGTGTAAGTAATAAACAATTACAATTTAAGCTACTACATGCATGTATCAGTATGTTTTAATAAAATAAAATGTATTTCAGCAATGCATTCTCAAGAAGGAGGAGATTAATGAACCCTCCCCTCTTACAATGAACAACACATGGACACTCTCAGGATGAACCCTTTGCATTCATTAACAGTTCCAAGGTATGGTTTTCTTAGAAAATCTAGTTAATCTCTTAATATTTAAGTTATTTAGAACTTTTAAAAGATTATTAGAATATAGATTTCCTCAGAACTGCAGTTATTTAAGCATTTTGCTTACAATTGAGCACTGCATTCAGTCGGACAACATGATTTATCTGCCCTTGGCATTTAATCAATTTATTAATTATGTCAATAATAAGAAATGATATGCAAATGAATATATTTGCCTTTTATGAAAATATACGTATTTAACATCAATTACATGAAATGATCATTAAAATTGGCTAAAATCTAGGTCACCCCCCTTCAGAATTACAAAATTTTCAGTGGGGATGTATTTGATTCTCTGATGCCAGCAACCCATTGCTGATATAATATTTTTAATCTTATTATCATTTAAACTAGATATATAATTCTCTTTCTTTCCATTGATTATTTTACCTACATTAGCCTTTCCTCTTTCCATAACTCAGCATTTTCTTACAAAGACCTGCTGATTTTCTTCATTTTTCATTTATAACGGGTACCTGCTACCCTTATTGATTAACATGATCTATCTTAAGAGATTATGAGAAATAATAAGAAAAACAAGCAAAACATATGCTAGATTAATCATTTTATTTCAAAAGTTTGAAAGAAAAATGGAAAAATGCTTCAATTTATAGACATCTTTCCTATTTCACAGAATGAGGTCTGATTGACTGGGGTGTGAAATGTAACAGCCAGTGGTGTACTTCAGCTAGGACTGTCAGTCCCAATATTCATGAGGTGAGATAACCAATGAATATGTGTTCTAAATGTACTAAATTGACCACTTTTTATAAGTGTTTTCTATAACTCTATAGGAAAAACTCCTACATAAACAAATACATGGGTGCAGACATTTTGGACACCCAAAGTTGTGCAGAGAAGAAAATGCTACCTGGCACGTGATTGGTCATTAAGAGAAAAGACTAGTTATGTATTTGACAAGTGAAATAAAGGTGATAAAAATCTCATATCAAGACTTAGGCTCCTTTGAGATATGTAGGAGTTACAGGTAAAAGTTTGAAGGGAGGGATGCACTTTGGTTAGAGATTTTCATTTGGTGCTGAATGCACCTAGTTGTAAACAAATGGAATTTGAAAGTAAAAGTGCCGCGGCACGGTATATTTTTTCTGGCATGTTTTGTTTTACAAGATCTCGAACTTTCACGGCAAGAAAGTCATTTGCCCAAAATTCAATATATGTATCAGTGACAGGGGCTCAACTTTGTATGGAAGTCTATGGGAAAACATTTGGTGGTGTTTGTCCTATAGAGTAGGTATGTATGTCATAGGTAAACATTGATTACAGCCAAAAAATCAATCAATTCCTCTTTTTTTTTGGCATTGGGATTATATTTTAGTTGGTTTTTACTATTTGTATAAAAATTAGAGGGTTTGGGTAAACTGAGGCTCCCAATGGGGACTGCACATGGTGAAAAAATGCCAAAATTTTGCCCCTAGCTCTCATATTTTCAATAAATGTCCATGTAAATAATTGTAAATAAATATTTATGCTGAAATTTACTGTGAATGTTGAAAATAATACAATATTGATATTTATCGGCATCATCAATACACAAAACATGTGAACATCCCCCTCGCAGTTTGAGAAATTCATTTAAATCCATGTATTTTATGAGTGCATACATTTGTATAGATTGACTAATCATCTTTCAAATTTGTGTTAATCAGAGTTAATTGAATGATTTATAACAAAATGTGACTGTTGTTAACTAAATAGGTTACTTTGTTTTTACATAAGGGACCTAATCCAGCTGCAAAGTAGATTTTAGTCATGTCATCAGTGCTGGCTTGAAATAAAAGTTGTACTTTTGGTGAAACTGAGAGGTTACTAGTAGGAAATTTAATTTAAATTACTGTACAATATGTTTTAACAGAAAATACATTGAAAATGCAAGAAATGTGCAAAATTATAAGTGAAAAAATGGTGAAATATGTTTCTGAATATCCCTCCTCCTTGTCATATCCAATCTTGATATTATGTAGCAAAGGGGGGGGGGGTATTTTGTGCTCTAATGATGCTAAAAAAATGAAGGAAAATTTTATAGATGTAGTTTATTTGAATAACAAGAGTTATGCTTATCTGCAGTTATTTTTTTTCAATTTCTTTTCCATTTTGTTTTAGTATTATCTTAGTAAATTCTATTTAAACATGATTATTTTTAAGCTATTACATAACAAATGCTTATAAAAAATTCAAAAGATGGTGTAAGTAATAAACAATTACAATTTAAGCTACTACATGCATGTATCAGTATGTTTTAATAAAATAAAATGTATTTCAGCAATGCATTCTCAAGAAGGAGGAGATTAATGAACCCTCCCCTCTTACAATGAACAACACATGGACACTCTCAGGATGAACCCTTTGCATTCATTAACAGTTCCAAGGTATGGTTTTCTTAGAAAATCTAGTTAATCTCTTAATATTTAAGTTATTTAGAACTTTTAAAAGATTATTAGAATATAGATTTCCTCAGAACTGCAGTTATTTAAGCATTTTGCTTACAATTGAGCACTGCATTCAGTCGGACAACATGATTTATCTGCCCTTGGCATTTAATCAATTTATTAATTATGTCAATAATAAGAAATGATATGCAAATGAATATATTTGCCTTTTATGAAAATATACGTATTTAACATCAATTACATGAAATGATCATTAAAATTGGCTAAAATCTAGGTCACCCCCCTTCAGAATTACAAAATTTTCAGTGGGGATGTATTTGATTCTCTGATGCCAGCAACCCATTGCTGATATAATATTTTTAATCTTATTATCATTTAAACTAGATATATAATTCTCTTTCTTTCCATTGATTATTTTACCTACATTAGCCTTTCCTCTTTCCATAACTCAGCATTTTCTTACAAAGACCTGCTGATTTTCTTCATTTTTCATTTATAACGGGTACCTGCTACCCTTATTGATTAACATGATCTATCTTAAGAGATTATGAGAAATAATAAGAAAAACAAGCAAAACATATGCTAGATTAATCATTTTATTTCAAAAGTTTGAAAGAAAAATGGAAAAATGCTTCAATTTATAGACATCTTTCCTATTTCACAGAATGAGGTCTGATTGACTGGGGTGTGAAATGTAACAGCCAGTGGTGTACTTCAGCTAGGACTGTCAGTCCCAATATTCATGAGGTGAGATAACCAATGAATATGTGTTCTAAATGTACTAAATTGACCACTTTTTATAAGTGTTTTCTATAACTCTATAGAGTAGGTATGTATGTCATAGGTAAACATTGATTACAGCCAAAAAATCAATCAATTCCTCTTTTTTTTTGGCATTGGGATTATATTTTAGTTGGTTTTTACTATTTGTATAAAAATTAGAGGGTTTGGGTAAACTGAGGCTCCCAATGGGGACTGCACATGGTGAAAAAATGCCAAAATTTTGCCCCTAGCTCTCATATTTTCAATAAATGTCCATGTAAATAATTGTAAATAAATATTTATGCTGAAATTTACTGTGAATGTTGAAAATAATACAATATTGATATTTATCGGCATCATCAATACACAAAACATGTGAACATCCCCCTCGCAGTTTGAGAAATTCATTTAAATCCATGTATTTTATGAGTGCATACATTTGTATAGATTGACTAATCATCTTTCAAATTTGTGTTAATCAGAGTTAATTGAATGATTTATAACAAAATGTGACTGTTGTTAACTAAATAGGTTACTTTGTTTTTACATAAGGGACCTAATCCAGCTGCAAAGTAGATTTTAGTCATGTCATCAGTGCTGGCTTGAAATAAAAGTTGTACTTTTGGTGAAACTGAGAGGTTACTAGTAGGAAATTTAATTTAAATTACTGTACAATATGTTTTAACAGAAAATACATTGAAAATGCAAGAAATGTGCAAAATTATAAGTGAAAAAATGGTGAAATATGTTTCTGAATATCCCTCCTCCTTGTCATATCCAATCTTGATATTATGTAGCAAAGGGGGGGGGGGGTATTTTGTGCTCTAATGATGCTAAAAAAATGAAGGAAAATTTTATAGATGTAGTTTATTTGAATAACAAGAGTTATGCTTATCTGCAGTTATTTTTTTTCAATTTCTTTTCCATTTTGTTTTAGTATTATCTTAGTAAATTCTATTTAAACATGATTATTTTTAAGCTATTACATAACAAATGCTTATAAAAAATTCAAAAGATGGTGTAAGTAATAAACAATTACAATTTAAGCTACTACATGCATGTATCAGTATGTTTTAATAAAATAAAATGTATTTCAGCAATGCATTCTCAAGAAGGAGGAGATTAATGAACCCTCCCCTCTTACAATGAACAACACATGGACACTCTCAGGATGAACCCTTTGCATTCATTAACAGTTCCAAGGTATGGTTTTCTTAGAAAATCTAGTTAATCTCTTAATATTTAAGTTATTTAGAACTTTTAAAAGATTATTAGAATATAGATTTCCTCAGAACTGCAGTTATTTAAGCATTTTGCTTACAATTGAGCACTGCATTCAGTCGGACAACATGATTTATCTGCCCTTGGCATTTAATCAATTTATTAATTATGTCAATAATAAGAAATGATATGCAAATGAATATATTTGCCTTTTATGAAAATATACGTATTTAACATCAATTACATGAAATGATCATTAAAATTGGCTAAAATCTAGGTCACCCCCCTTCAGAATTACAAAATTTTCAGTGGGGATGTATTTGATTCTCTGATGCCAGCAACCCATTGCTGATATAATATTTTTAATCTTATTATCATTTAAACTAGATATATAATTCTCTTTCTTTCCATTGATTATTTTACCTACATTAGCCTTTCCTCTTTCCATAACTCAGCATTTTCTTACAAAGACCTGCTGATTTTCTTCATTTTTCATTTATAACGGGTACCTGCTACCCTTATTGATTAACATGATCTATCTTAAGAGATTATGAGAAATAATAAGAAAAACAAGCAAAACATATGCTAGATTAATCATTTTATTTCAAAAGTTTGAAAGAAAAATGGAAAAATGCTTCAATTTATAGACATCTTTCCTATTTCACAGAATGAGGTCTGATTGACTGGGGTGTGAAATGTAACAGCCAGTGGTGTACTTCAGCTAGGACTGTCAGTCCCAATATTCATGAGGTGAGATAACCAATGAATATGTGTTCTAAATGTACTAAATTGACCACTTTTTATAAGTGTTTTCTATAACTCTATAGGAAAAACTCCTACATAAACAAATACATGGGTGCAGACATTTTGGACACCCAAAGTTGTGCAGAGAAGAAAATGCTACCTGGCACGTGATTGGTCATTAAGAGAAAAGACTAGTTATGTATTTGACAAGTGAAATAAAGGTGATAAAAATCTCATATCAAGACTTAGGCTCCTTTGAGATATGTAGGAGTTACAGGTAAAAGTTTGAAGGGAGGGATGCACTTTGGTTAGAGATTTTCATTTGGTGCTGAATGCACCTAGTTGTAAACAAATGGAATTTGAAAGTAAAAGTGCCGCGGCACGGTATATTTTTTCTGGCATGTTTTGTTTTACAAGATCTCGAACTTTCACGGCAAGAAAGTCATTTGCCCAAAATTCAATATATGTATCAGTGACAGGGGCTCAACTTTGTATGGAAGTCTATGGGAAAACATTTGGTGGTGTTTGTCCTATAGAGTAGGTATGTATGTCATAGGTAAACATTGATTACAGCCAAAAAATCAATCAATTCCTCTTTTTTTTGGCATTGGGATTATATTTTAGTTGGTTTTTACTATTTGTATAAAAATTAGAGGGTTTGGGTAAACTGAGGCTCCCAATGGGGACTGCACATGGTGAAAAAATGCCAAAATTTTGCCCCTAGCTCTCATATTTTCAATAAATGTCCATGTAAATAATTGTAAATAAATATTTATGCTGAAATTTACTGTGAATGTTGAAAATAATACAATATTGATATTTATCGGCATCATCAATACACAAAACATGTGAACATCCCCCTCGCAGTTTGAGAAATTCATTTAAATCCATGTATTTTATGAGTGCATACATTTGTATAGATTGACTAATCATCTTTCAAATTTGTGTTAATCAGAGTTAATTGAATGATTTATAACAAAATGTGACTGTTGTTAACTAAATAGGTTACTTTGTTTTTACATAAGGGACCTAATCCAGCTGCAAAGTAGATTTTAGTCATGTCATCAGTGCTGGCTTGAAATAAAAGTTGTACTTTTGGTGAAACTGAGAGGTTACTAGTAGGAAATTTAATTTAAATTACTGTACAATATGTTTTAACAGAAAATACATTGAAAATGCAAGAAATGTGCAAAATTATAAGTGAAAAAATGGTGAAATATGTTTCTGAATATCCCTCCTCCTTGTCATATCCAATCTTGATATTATGTAGCAAAGGGGGGGGGGGTATTTTGTGCTCTAATGATGCTAAAAAAATGAAGGAAAATTTTATAGATGTAGTTTATTTGAATAACAAGAGTTATGCTTATCTGCAGTTATTTTTTTTCAATTTCTTTTCCATTTTGTTTTAGTATTATCTTAGTAAATTCTATTTAAACATGATTATTTTTAAGCTATTACATAACAAATGCTTATAAAAAATTCAAAAGATGGTGTAAGTAATAAACAATTACAATTTAAGCTACTACATGCATGTATCAGTATGTTTTAATAAAATAAAATGTATTTCAGCAATGCATTCTCAAGAAGGAGGAGATTAATGAACCCTCCCCTCTTACAATGAACAACACATGGACACTCTCAGGATGAACCCTTTGCATTCATTAACAGTTCCAAGGTATGGTTTTCTTAGAAAATCTAGTTAATCTCTTAATATTTAAGTTATTTAGAACTTTTAAAAGATTATTAGAATATAGATTTCCTCAGAACTGCAGTTATTTAAGCATTTTGCTTACAATTGAGCACTGCATTCAGTCGGACAACATGATTTATCTGCCCTTGGCATTTAATCAATTTATTAATTATGTCAATAATAAGAAATGATATGCAAATGAATATATTTGCCTTTTATGAAAATATACGTATTTAACATCAATTACATGAAATGATCATTAAAATTGGCTAAAATCTAGGTCACCCCCCTTCAGAATTACAAAATTTTCAGTGGGGATGTATTTGATTCTCTGATGCCAGCAACCCATTGCTGATATAATATTTTTAATCTTATTATCATTTAAACTAGATATATAATTCTCTTTCTTTCCATTGATTATTTTACCTACATTAGCCTTTCCTCTTTCCATAACTCAGCATTTTCTTACAAAGACCTGCTGATTTTCTTCATTTTTCATTTATAACGGGTACCTGCTACCCTTATTGATTAACATGATCTATCTTAAGAGATTATGAGAAATAATAAGAAAAACAAGCAAAACATATGCTAGATTAATCATTTTATTTCAAAAGTTTGAAAGAAAAATGGAAAAATGCTTCAATTTATAGACATCTTTCCTATTTCACAGAATGAGGTCTGATTGACTGGGGTGTGAAATGTAACAGCCAGTGGTGTACTTCAGCTAGGACTGTCAGTCCCAATATTCATGAGGTGAGATAACCAATGAATATGTGTTCTAAATGTACTAAATTGACCACTTTTTATAAGTGTTTTCTATAACTCTATAGGAAAAACTCCTACATAAACAAATACATGGGTGCAGACATTTTGGACACCCAAAGTTGTGCAGAGAAGAAAATGCTACCTGGCACGTGATTGGTCATTAAGAGAAAAGACTAGTTATGTATTTGACAAGTGAAATAAAGGTGATAAAAATCTCATATCAAGACTTAGGCTCCTTTGAGATATGTAGGAGTTACAGGTAAAAGTTTGAAGGGAGGGATGCACTTTGGTTAGAGATTTTCATTTGGTGCTGAATGCACCTAGTTGTAAACAAATGGAATTTGAAAGTAAAAGTGCCGCGGCACGGTATATTTTTTCTGGCATGTTTTGTTTTACAAGATCTCGAACTTTCACGGCAAGAAAGTCATTTGCCCAAAATTCAATATATGTATCAGTGACAGGGGCTCAACTTTGTATGGAAGTCTATGGGAAAACATTTGGTGGTGTTTGTCCTATAGAGTAGGTATGTATGTCATAGGTAAACATTGATTACAGCCAAAAAATCAATCAATTCCTCTTTTTTTTGGCATTGGGATTATATTTTAGTTGGTTTTTACTATTTGTATAAAAATTAGAGGGTTTGGGTAAACTGAGGCTCCCAATGGGGACTGCACATGGTGAAAAAATGCCAAAATTTTGCCCCTAGCTCTCATATTTTCAATAAATGTCCATGTAAATAATTGTAAATAAATATTTATGCTGAAATTTACTGTGAATGTTGAAAATAATACAATATTGATATTTATCGGCATCATCAATACACAAAACATGTGAACATCCCCCTCGCAGTTTGAGAAATTCATTTAAATCCATGTATTTTATGAGTGCATACATTTGTATAGATTGACTAATCATCTTTCAAATTTGTGTTAATCAGAGTTAATTGAATGATTTATAACAAAATGTGACTGTTGTTAACTAAATAGGTTACTTTGTTTTTACATAAGGGACCTAATCCAGCTGCAAAGTAGATTTTAGTCATGTCATCAGTGCTGGCTTGAAATAAAAGTTGTACTTTTGGTGAAACTGAGAGGTTACTAGTAGGAAATTTAATTTAAATTACTGTACAATATGTTTTAACAGAAAATACATTGAAAATGCAAGAAATGTGCAAAATTATAAGTGAAAAAATGGTGAAATATGTTTCTGAATATCCCTCCTCCTTGTCATATCCAATCTTGATATTATGTAGCAAAGGGGGGGGGGGTATTTTGTGCTCTAATGATGCTAAAAAAATGAAGGAAAATTTTATAGATGTAGTTTATTTGAATAACAAGAGTTATGCTTATCTGCAGTTATTTTTTTTCAATTTCTTTTCCATTTTGTTTTAGTATTATCTTAGTAAATTCTATTTAAACATGATTATTTTTAAGCTATTACATAACAAATGCTTATAAAAAATTCAAAAGATGGTGTAAGTAATAAACAATTACAATTTAAGCTACTACATGCATGTATCAGTATGTTTTAATAAAATAAAATGTATTTCAGCAATGCATTCTCAAGAAGGAGGAGATTAATGAACCCTCCCCTCTTACAATGAACAACACATGGACACTCTCAGGATGAACCCTTTGCATTCATTAACAGTTCCAAGGTATGGTTTTCTTAGAAAATCTAGTTAATCTCTTAATATTTAAGTTATTTAGAACTTTTAAAAGATTATTAGAATATAGATTTCCTCAGAACTGCAGTTATTTAAGCATTTTGCTTACAATTGAGCACTGCATTCAGTCGGACAACATGATTTATCTGCCCTTGGCATTTAATCAATTTATTAATTATGTCAATAATAAGAAATGATATGCAAATGAATATATTTGCCTTTTATGAAAATATACGTATTTAACATCAATTACATGAAATGATCATTAAAATTGGCTAAAATCTAGGTCACCCCCCTTCAGAATTACAAAATTTTCAGTGGGGATGTATTTGATTCTCTGATGCCAGCAACCCATTGCTGATATAATATTTTTAATCTTATTATCATTTAAACTAGATATATAATTCTCTTTCTTTCCATTGATTATTTTACCTACATTAGCCTTTCCTCTTTCCATAACTCAGCATTTTCTTACAAAGACCTGCTGATTTTCTTCATTTTTCATTTATAACGGGTACCTGCTACCCTTATTGATTAACATGATCTATCTTAAGAGATTATGAGAAATAATAAGAAAAACAAGCAAAACATATGCTAGATTAATCATTTTATTTCAAAAGTTTGAAAGAAAAATGGAAAAATGCTTCAATTTATAGACATCTTTCCTATTTCACAGAATGAGGTCTGATTGACTGGGGTGTGAAATGTAACAGCCAGTGGTGTACTTCAGCTAGGACTGTCAGTCCCAATATTCATGAGGTGAGATAACCAATGAATATGTGTTCTAAATGTACTAAATTGACCACTTTTTATAAGTGTTTTCTATAACTCTATAGAGTAGGTATGTATGTCATAGGTAAACATTGATTACAGCCAAAAAATCAATCAATTCCTCTTTTTTTTTGGCATTGGGATTATATTTTAGTTGGTTTTTACTATTTGTATAAAAATTAGAGGGTTTGGGTAAACTGAGGCTCCCAATGGGGACTGCACATGGTGAAAAAATGCCAAAATTTTGCCCCTAGCTCTCATATTTTCAATAAATGTCCATGTAAATAATTGTAAATAAATATTTATGCTGAAATTTACTGTGAATGTTGAAAATAATACAATATTGATATTTATCGGCATCATCAATACACAAAACATGTGAACATCCCCCTCGCAGTTTGAGAAATTCATTTAAATCCATGTATTTTATGAGTGCATACATTTGTATAGATTGACTAATCATCTTTCAAATTTGTGTTAATCAGAGTTAATTGAATGATTTATAACAAAATGTGACTGTTGTTAACTAAATAGGTTACTTTGTTTTTACATAAGGGACCTAATCCAGCTGCAAAGTAGATTTTAGTCATGTCATCAGTGCTGGCTTGAAATAAAAGTTGTACTTTTGGTGAAACTGAGAGGTTACTAGTAGGAAATTTAATTTAAATTACTGTACAATATGTTTTAACAGAAAATACATTGAAAATGCAAGAAATGTGCAAAATTATAAGTGAAAAAATGGTGAAATATGTTTCTGAATATCCCTCCTCCTTGTCATATCCAATCTTGATATTATGTAGCAAAGGGGGGGGGGGGTATTTTGTGCTCTAATGATGCTAAAAAAATGAAGGAAAATTTTATAGATGTAGTTTATTTGAATAACAAGAGTTATGCTTATCTGCAGTTATTTTTTTTCAATTTCTTTTCCATTTTGTTTTAGTATTATCTTAGTAAATTCTATTTAAACATGATTATTTTTAAGCTATTACATAACAAATGCTTATAAAAAATTCAAAAGATGGTGTAAGTAATAAACAATTACAATTTAAGCTACTACATGCATGTATCAGTATGTTTTAATAAAATAAAATGTATTTCAGCAATGCATTCTCAAGAAGGAGGAGATTAATGAACCCTCCCCTCTTACAATGAACAACACATGGACACTCTCAGGATGAACCCTTTGCATTCATTAACAGTTCCAAGGTATGGTTTTCTTAGAAAATCTAGTTAATCTCTTAATATTTAAGTTATTTAGAACTTTTAAAAGATTATTAGAATATAGATTTCCTCAGAACTGCAGTTATTTAAGCATTTTGCTTACAATTGAGCACTGCATTCAGTCGGACAACATGATTTATCTGCCCTTGGCATTTAATCAATTTATTAATTATGTCAATAATAAGAAATGATATGCAAATGAATATATTTGCCTTTTATGAAAATATACGTATTTAACATCAATTACATGAAATGATCATTAAAATTGGCTAAAATCTAGGTCACCCCCCTTCAGAATTACAAAATTTTCAGTGGGGATGTATTTGATTCTCTGATGCCAGCAACCCATTGCTGATATAATATTTTTAATCTTATTATCATTTAAACTAGATATATAATTCTCTTTCTTTCCATTGATTATTTTACCTACATTAGCCTTTCCTCTTTCCATAACTCAGCATTTTCTTACAAAGACCTGCTGATTTTCTTCATTTTTCATTTATAACGGGTACCTGCTACCCTTATTGATTAACATGATCTATCTTAAGAGATTATGAGAAATAATAAGAAAAACAAGCAAAACATATGCTAGATTAATCATTTTATTTCAAAAGTTTGAAAGAAAAATGGAAAAATGCTTCAATTTATAGACATCTTTCCTATTTCACAGAATGAGGTCTGATTGACTGGGGTGTGAAATGTAACAGCCAGTGGTGTACTTCAGCTAGGACTGTCAGTCCCAATATTCATGAGGTGAGATAACCAATGAATATGTGTTCTAAATGTACTAAATTGACCACTTTTTATAAGTGTTTTCTATAACTCTATAGGAAAAACTCCTACATAAACAAATACATGGGTGCAGACATTTTGGACACCCAAAGTTGTGCAGAGAAGAAAATGCTACCTGGCACGTGATTGGTCATTAAGAGAAAAGACTAGTTATGTATTTGACAAGTGAAATAAAGGTGATAAAAATCTCATATCAAGACTTAGGCTCCTTTGAGATATGTAGGAGTTACAGGTAAAAGTTTGAAGGGAGGGATGCACTTTGGTTAGAGATTTTCATTTGGTGCTGAATGCACCTAGTTGTAAACAAATGGAATTTGAAAGTAAAAGTGCCGCGGCACGGTATATTTTTTCTGGCATGTTTTGTTTTACAAGATCTCGAACTTTCACGGCAAGAAAGTCATTTGCCCAAAATTCAATATATGTATCAGTGACAGGGGCTCAACTTTGTATGGAAGTCTATGGGAAAACATTTGGTGGTGTTTGTCCACTTGTGCACAACTGTGAATACACATTGAGATCTCACGCGGTTCGAGGACATTTCTGGGATAAACAATTCCTGTGAATTTATTAACTGTTTCTCATTTTTATTTTGTATTGTTGTATTTTGTTGTCAATGTCATTTTGTTATTCATTTGTCATGTTTCATGTTTGCAAGTGTGTTGCAGTTGAGTGCTGGTAAAATTCGCGAAAACTTTATTTTCTAAAGTATCTTCAAAAGTTATATAAACACATTGACCTGAAGACATTTGAAATTAACTGTGTGTTATCTAACAATCCCTCTCTGCATGTAGTTATTCAGTTTTACTAACACTTAGCCGCAGCAGCAGAGCAGATTTAGAGAAAATTCGGGAGAGTGTAAGTAAGTCAGTTGTATAGTGATCTTCACATCAGTTTCATTTTCATATCATATCATTTCATTTAGCATATCCAGCGCATACCACTTTAAGAATTTTAAGGCAGTCTATTTCAAATAGATATTATTCAGTCTAAATTTAGTAATATAGATCTACAGTCACTGTGTTATAGCATTCAATCTAGATTCAATTTTTAGATTACTGTAGTTAATATCTGCAATTTGAATCACTGAGTTTAGTTTAGTGTTACTCAGGGTATAAGAAGTCAGCAAGTCAGAGTTGATATTATGGTTTAAGAGAATTTTTACTGATTTATATTGACTGTTTATTTTTGAAAGAAATCCAGGTGTTTGGTTACCAGATATTGAAATCTCATTCCGCACCTCGATATGGCTCGACTGTGTTGAACGTTCGAAAATTTATGCGAATTCGAAGAAGGGTTTTTCAGCAAAAACACGGTGAGTGATTCATGTTGTATTGTTTTAGAAAATCTTTCAAAATATCAGAATTTCTTTTTCTGATTGTTATCATTTTCACCATGGCTAACGGTGAGACAGCTGGTAAGAAACCAGAAATACCTGTAGTTGAGAAAGAAGAGAATGCTGATGACATTCTTGAACACATTGAAAAGGTGAATCAAAATCCTAACTATAGGGTATTAACTATGGAGGAGTATAATTTACTTGTATCTAGTACTCCAAAGACAGGTAAAGTTACTGCACCAAAATTTACATTTGGTTCCCCTATGGATCAGTTAGGGCCAAGAATGAAAGGTTTGTACAATGTCTTGCACAAGGCTAAGCCTAAGACTGAATCTTCCAACCCAGTCCCTGAAACTCCTAATCCCAGTAATCACAATGTTTCACTTATTACCAGTCAATTGAGTGTGCCTAAATTACCTATCTTCAGTGGCACTGATGAACCTCAAAAAGGTGAAGTGAAATACGAGGTTTGGAGTTTTGAGGTTAAGTGTTTAAGAAAGAATGAACAATATTCAGAACATGTACTTTTAGAAGCAGTTAGAAGATCTCTGAAGGGTTTAGCTCGTTCAATGTTAGTTCCTCTAGGTGAAAATGCACGCTTGTCTGATATTATGCACAAGTTAGATGGTTTCTTTGGAAATGTTTCCACAAATGAAAATCTTATGCAATCATTTTACAGTGATTTTCAAAAAGAGAATGAGTCAATTGTTATTTATGCTTCTCGCATTGAAGAAACAATTTGTAAAGCAATACAGTTTGGTTTCATAGATGAGATAGCTAAAGATGCCATGTTAAGAAACAAATTCTGGACAGGTTTAGCTAGTCAGTCATTGAAAAATTCAACCAGACATTTGTATGACTCTATTAAAGATTTTCAACATCTTCTTAGGGAAATCAGAAAAGTGCAACAGGAGGAAGTTCATGCAAGTTCTCGCCTACTGAAATCCGAGCCAGCAGCAGTTCATGCAGAGAGAGCAGAAGTGAAAGAGAGTCAGGAAGACCTAAAGAAAGAACTCAGAGTCTTGATATCGAAGATGGAAAGGTTAGAACATAGCATAAACTCTCAGTCATCTGATTATCAAGATATTTGTAGGAGATTAAGTAACTTAGAGGTACAACACAGTAGAAACACTTCTTCTAATGGTCCACTAGGTCCATACAGAGAAAACAGAGGTTTTAATAGAGGTAGAGGTTTTACTAGAGGTCAGAGTAGAAATCTGTCTAGAGGCAATTTTAGAGGTCAGACTTACCAAAAGCCTCAAGGTCAAGGTCAGATGAGTAGGAAAGGAGAGAATGACCCAAAAGGGCAACCTCTTCTGTTGTAGGGCAAACTGAGGAGGTCAAATGTCATTGCCCTGAAACTGAAAAGTTGATTTCTAGAATGGTTGGACATGCTAACCAATGTAAGGTCAAATTATGTGACAGAGAAACTGATGCGTTGGTAGACACTGGTTCAATGATAACTTGTATGTCAAAACAATTTTACGAGTCTCTAGAACCAAAGCCAGAACTTAGAAAATTGGAAGATTTTCAACTGGATGTTTATGGTGCAGGGGGTCACTCACTTCCCTTTTCTGGGTATATAGAGGGTGAACTTCAAATCCCATTTTTAAGTCAGAGTACAATTTTTGCCCCTATATTGGTGAGTCATTCATCAAATGAAAAGGGTGGTTCTGAGTTTCCATTAATAATTGGCACCAATGTTATCAGAAATTGTAAAGAGATTTTTAGTAGTTTGGAAAGTGTTTCAGAAATACCCGAAGTATGGAACTTAGCATTTAAAAGTATGTGTGACACTGCTTTAAAGGTCAAAACAACAAACCATTTTCCAATTAGCTTAGGTCCTAATGAGGTCAAAACAATAACTGGGTTAGTCAGAAAATCTTATGACTTAGAAACAGCAATGACTGAACAGTTGGATACTTCACAGTCAGGGAGTTTAGTCATTTGTCCTAGAGTCATTAATCTGAAATCCAAGATTGGGAAAACATCTAGAATACCAGTTAGAGTTTGTAATTTATCAGCACAATCAATTAAGATTCTACCAAAGTCTATAATCTGCTCAGTAAGCCCTGTTAAGGTAGTCGATTCATGGAGACCCAAGTCAGAGGAAGAGTCCATTGAAAATAAGGGAGATAACTCAGATATTTTTATTGAGTCTTTAGGTGCGAAGATAAACAAACAGAATCTTACAAGTGAAGAAATGACAAGAACAGCAGAGTTATTGAATAGATGGAAACATATCTTCTCAACATCATTTACAGATATAGGTAAAACAGATTTGGTCAAACATGAAATCAAGCTAACTGACAATATACCTTTTAAGGAACCCTACAGGAGAATTTCACCTGGGATGTATCAGGAGGTAAGACAGCACTTGAAAGAAATGCTTGAAGCAGGTGCTATACGGAAATCACAAAGTCCTTACAGTTCAAATGTAGTGTTAGTCAAGAAATCTGACGGGTCCTTAAGATTCTGTATCGATCTTAGAAAACTTAACAACAAAACCATTAAAGATGCCTACACTTTACCTAGAGTAGATGAGACTATTGATACTTTGATTGGAAGCAAATATTTTACTAAACTTGATTTAAGATCAGGTTACTGGCAGGTTGAAATTAAGGAAGAAGACAAGCATAAAACAGCTTTTTCTCTAGGGCCTTTGGGGTTTTATGAATGCAATCGGATGGCCTTTGGCCTGACCAATGCCCCGGGAACCTTCCAACGTTTAATGGAAACCTGCATGGGTGATTCACATCTTAGAGAATGTCTTATATTTTTAGATGACATTTTAGTTTTTTCTCAGTCTTTTGATGAACATCTTAAAAGATTAGAGGGAGTTTTTGAGAAACTGGAGAAACATAACTTAAAGCTTAAACCATCTAAGTGTGAATTCTTTATGAGTGAGGTGAAATATTTAGGTCACATAGTGTCGGAGGAAGGTATCAAAACCGACCCAGATAAGATTGAGGCACTAAAGTCATGACCAAAGAATATTAAAGAATTACGCTCATTTTTAGGTTTCACAGGATATTACCGGCGTTTCATAAAAGACTATGCCAGAGTAGTTCAGCCGCTTAATGAGTTACTGGTGGGACACCCAACAGCGAAAAGAAAGAATCAGGGAAACAGGAAGAAAATACCATGGTTATGGGGTAAGGAACAACAATTTGCTTTTGAGACACTTATAAGTAAGTTAACAAATCCCCCTATTCTCGGCTATGCAGATTTTTCTAAACCATTCGTTTTGAATATTGATGCCTCCACTGAGGGCTTAGGTGCTGTTCTCTATCAGAACCAGAATGGTTTAGAACGGGTGATTGCATATGGCAGTCGTGGTTTAAAGAAAAGCGAGAAGTTGTATCCAGCACATAAACTTGAGTTTTTGTGTTTAAAATGGGCAGTAGTCGACAAGTTTAAAGACTATTTATACAACAATTCTTTTGAAGTTAGAACGGATAATAATCCGTTGACTTATGTCATGACTTCAGCAAAACTCGATGCCACAGGTCACCGTTGGCTTGCTGCTTTGAGCAATTACAATTTCAGGATATATTACAGATCTGGGAAATTAAATCAAGATGCAGACGGGTTATCCAGACGTCCATATCATCTCCAGATTTTTCCAGAGGCTGTCAAAGCAGTGTGTCAAGCAGCTCTCATTGACTGAGAACAACTTCCATTAGCAGAGAGTCTACTCATTACAGACACTGGTCAACTCAACCCGGATATATCTGAAATAGAATCACAGGAACTGAGTACCATTAACTGGAAAGAGAAGCAGGATGAGGATCCAGTGATAAGTAAGGTTAAGTACTTGTTAACAACTGGTGAGAGGTTAGATACTGAGAATGTTGATATAGAGACAGAGGAGGTTAGGAAGTATCTTAGAGAGAGGAAAAGTTTTGAGATTAGGAAAGGTGTATTGTTCAGGAATACACAGATTGATGGAATGAATATTAGGCAACTTGTTTTACCAAAGAGTATGATAGGGACAATTTTCAAAGGTTTACATGAAGATATAGGACATCAGGGAAGGGAAAAGACTAGTTGGCTTGTCAAGAAGCGTTTCTATTGGCCAGGAATGGATACTGATATTAGAGAGAAAGTTGAGCATTGTGGCCGATGTGTTAGAAGTAAGACCAGGG